AGTTTAATGAGATATCTCTGTGAAATCATTTCAAAATCAATTTTCTTTTCAGGACAATTCTTGGGAACCCCAAGAACCTCTAGCTGTATATAATAAGCAGTATGCACTCAAGAATTGACATCCAAAAAAAAAAAAAAAATAAGTGCATCCCTATAAAAGACTCCTTGTAAAATAGGATCTCACAGTGAAGGTGCTATCAAAACATTTGCCATTTCAAAAGGCAATACATTTGCTTTGTTAGTATATCTGAATGCTTACTAAAGGTGGGAAGCATTCGATATTCTTGCATCTTAGAATGGATGCTGCAGATATGCAAATGACCAACAGGAATGATAAAGAAAAAAAACCGGCCAGCCTCCATGGCTCAACCTGTAATCCCAGCACTTTGGGAGTCCGAAGTGAGAGGATTGCCTGAGCCTGAGGATTCAAGACCAGCCCAGGCAACTTGGCGAGACCTCATCTCTACAATAAATCCCAGGTGTGGTAGTGCGCACCTGTAGTTCCAGCTACTTGGAAGGCTGAGGCAGACGGATCACCAGAGCCCAGCAGGTCAATGCTGGGGTGGCCGTGAGCATGCCACTGCACTCTAGCTTGGGCGACAGACTGAGACTCCGTCTCAAAAAAAAAAAAAAAAAGAAAGAAAGAAAAGAAAAAAGAGAAAAAAAAAAACCCCGCCTAAACCTTCAGACTTCCCCCATTTAAAAACAGTGTTTACCAGTAAAATTATGTCTGTAGCAGATTTTTTTTTTTTTTTTTTGAGTTGGAGTCTTACTCTGTCATCTAGGCTGGAGTACAGTGGCATGCTCACAGCCATGGAGCCTCCACCTGCTGGGCTCAGTTGACCCTTCAGTCTCAGCCTTCCAAATAGCTAAACTACAGGTGTGTGCTACCAAGCCCAGCTCATTTTTTTTATTTATTGTAGATGAGATCTCACCAAGTTGCCCAGGCTGGTCTCGAACCCCTGACTCGGGCAATTCTCTCTCCTTGGCCTCCCAAAGTGCTGGGATTATAGGCATGAGCCACTGTGCCGGGCTGAAGATTTTTTTTTTTTTTCCTGAGTCGGAGTCTCACTCTGTCACCCAGACTGGAGTGTAGTGGCACGCTCCCAGCCACTGCAGCCTTGACCTGCTAGGCTCCGGTGATCTTTCCGCCACAGCCTTCTAATAGCTGGAACTACAGGCGTGCACTACCACGCCCGGCTAATTTTTTATTTTATTGTAGAAATGAGGTCTCGCCAAGTTGCCCAGGCGGGTCTTGAGCCCACGGGCTCAGGCAATCCACTCACCTCAGCCTCCCAAAGCGCTGGGATTACAGGCTGAGCCACGGAGCCCGGATTGAAGATTTTTTAATTGCAGCATTATTGTTAACAGCATAAGATTGGAAACAATACAGATGCCCGTTAATGGGAGAGTGGTTTAAATGTGATAGATACATTCATCCAGTGGACTAGATTGCTGTCAGGAAAAAGCAATCATGCCCTCTATGTACTGACAAGGAACAGTCTCCAAAATAAATTAAGCAAAAAGTAACAGTGATTTCAGTGTATGTTATCACTTAGGTTAAAAATGAAAGGAAGGGAAGAAGAATAATTTACATATATCCTTGTATAAGCCCACAAGGGGAACTCCCCCCCAAAACAGAATTATCTTTTGGAGGGTGGGCTCCTTGTAGTACAGGCTTCCTCTGCTAAGTAAGTGTTCTAGGAACCCATCGGCACCAATGTACCAGTTAGTGTTGTTGTGAGAGACTGCACTAGCTTCAGTGAATTTGTTTTTGGAGGTTCTTTCAACGCCTTTGCCCATTTCATGAGGATGACTTATGGGTGTACCTGCCCACGCCACACTGAGTGTTCAGCAGTTTTTGATCAAAAAACGGCATGACCCCTGTGCCCCACCTTCCCTATTCCCCTAATCTCCCTACTCCCCTGATCTCACCCCAAGAGACTTTTGTTTTCCCAGATGAAAAAAGTCCTTAAAGGGAAATGTTTTGCTGATGCAGCAGAGGTCAAACAAACAAACAAACAAACAAACAAAAAACAGCAGAAGCACTAAAAGACATCAAAATCGATGAGTTCAAAAACTGTTTTGAGTAGCGGAAAAAATGTCTTAATAGGTGTATTGATTAGCCAGGTGTGGTAGCCCACGCCTGTAATTCCAGCTACTTGGAAGGCTGAGGCGGAAGGATCGCCAGAGCCCAGCAG